GAAATCTGCTGTTGGAAATAGGGACAAATCTAGTAACCAGTTGCTCCAGTTTTTTACTCTAGCTGCATTTAAATATAAGATGACAAGCTGTTAATTCTTCCTTTTTAGGTGCACTACCATTAAGAGGTTCCATTCCTGACATGTTTTCTGACTCGGCCAGATACATCCAGTTGCAGAATGTGTAAGTATCGGAAATCTGATTTTGAGATAAGCCGTGATCATTAAACTCTTCTGAGTGCCAGGCTTGTTAACCTATCTGCTAATCTTGCCAAGCTTGTTAACTCCCATTCCAAAGTTGACTCTGTTAAGTAGATTGTCTCCAAATACCGCTTTTTCTGGGTACGTACTTACTTCATTATTTTGTCACATTTTGTGGCCAGTGCTCTAAAAAATTTATTTTGCTCGATAGAAGAGTTTGAATGTGCTTCTAGTCTCATCCCTTCTGAATCTTTAGAACTCCAACCTTACCTGTTCTCAAGTAAATACCACTCATTGCATTGCTGTTCCTCCCTACTCAATCCACTGCCAGATCTCTTCAGCTTTCCCATATTCTCATGCAACATACCTTTGTTTGGTATGTGCTTCTTTTACCATATTGAGGCCCCTTTTGGGTCAATTAACGGTTCGCACAATGCTAGTTTCTCTCTTTTTATTTCCATTAAATTTTCAAAAACTGGCGCTTTTTAAGCTATTTGCCCTTCATTTATATCTAGGATCCGTTGGTTCTAAACCGGAACAAATTTTGGCTTGGTTAATTTGGCGGTGTAATAGGCAGAGCCGTTAGGTTGCAATAGGTCGTGCAATATTTCCCTTTTTTCTTTCAAGCCTGCAGATTCACTCTAGTGCTATCTTTTTGCACTCTAATGACTTTTGCCTGATCACTCATGAAATTTATTCACTGGTTTACTTTGGTCAGCAGAATTTTAATTCTTCTAAAAATGATATGTAGGTCAGTTTTCAGACATTTGCCAACAGAGTCAATACTAGCAGTGTCACGGTTGAGGATCCTGCTGAAGGCCAGTAAAGAAGACAATTTCAAGTGCCACATCCAAGTCCTAGGGTTTTTTCTTTTATTTTCTGAAGAAGGTTTTTGTCTTAGAGTGTTGTGAATAGGAGGAATGAACAATTTTCTAGACTCTAAATACAAAAAATATAGAATTTACTCTACCACCGCCAAATTAGTACACGCTTTAGTAATACGTTTTAAGTCGTTAGAACAGAACGGTTCTAAGTCGTAGCAGTTACAGCAACACCGTCTTTAGAACAGTTCTAAGTCGTAGCAGTTACAGCAGCACCGTCTTTAGAACGGTTTTAAGTCGTAGCAGTTACAGCAGCACCGTCTTTAGAATGGTTTTAAGTCGTAGCAGTTACAGCAGCACCGTCTTGTTCTGTATAGCAAAGCGTGTGTATTTTTGCCTATAAGGCTTTAAGGACTTTATTGCTGATCAGTAAAACATTAGCTAACCCTAGAAGAAAATACGTAGCTTTTACGCTAAACACCTAACAATCTGCCACAAAAAATCTCGATTCTACTCTGCTACATACACTTATTTTATTAGCGCTCCGTTATAATTTAAAGACCCTTTTATAGGTCTAGTGTAAACTTTATGGTGATAACATGTCTTCGATACTAAATATTAGAAATCACATCAACATACCTTGGACATGAACGCCGACTTATTTGAATTGCGTTTTCTTTCAGTTACAAAGAACAAGCAACTAAAGACATAGAATGTGTACATGATATAGTTGAGCAATGCTTGTTGGATATGCAGCTGGTAAGTGTGTTATTAACATTGCTGATTGTTGTCTATTAGATCGTTTGTGCTTTGTAGAAATCACCAGTATAGGTATAAAGAAATCAAGGCTCTTTCCTTGGAAACCTTATTCCAGTGACTTTGATAATACTCATTAGCATCACAAAGGACCTGGTAGATGGCTACTTTGTACATTGTAAATAGGAATGAAATTCGGCGGTAATAGAATAAAATATTATTTTTATTTTCCCTCGAAGATTATGTCTTTTCGAAATGCTTTTTCGCAGGAAAGTGACTTCATAAAGATTGAAGACACGAAGTTATTCTGTGAGTTTTCATCTTATTTGTCAACCTTTACCAAATATATCTGGATAAAAATATGATTTGGAAACATGTAAAACAAATTGTTAGCTTTCTCATCGCAAACAACTGAAAGGGTTATAACCTTGTTCGGAGTGTACCTTAACTGCAAAATGGAAAGAATGTTGGTATGAACATTCATTTTTGCTTGAATCATTTCCTGTAAGATTGAACTTGCCTCTTTTACCGTTGATTAAATTTTACATAATATATAGTCCAACGTTACATATATTCTTGGAAGATTTACAATGCCTATCAAGTCTGGGATAACCGACATAACCAACTGTGTTTTATAATTTTCTCTCTTTTCTCATATGCCTACTTCCAACCCCCCCCCCTTTCCTCTCAGAACAATGGCTATAGTCTAGGCAAATATCCTACAAAACATATAAAGACCACTGTATGGAGAGGGGGGAATAAAGCAACAGCGTTAATAACTTGGAGAGGTAGTTAAATCCTCGACTTGTCAACTTTTGAACGTGATTATTGTGACGTTCTAACCATCTTTTTATTCGTTTTAAAGATGGAAAATTTCGAATGCTTTTAGGTAAGAATGCATATTTTCTACATGCCATGTCTGGGCACCCTCTCTCAAACGAGCTTCGCCACTCGATGGAAGGAAATTCCCACAAAATAGGTAAGAGCAGAGACTGCTTTCTTGTTTGGCTTCTTTTAGCGTAATCCGTAGTGCCGATTCAATCTTACGATAGAATGGATTTGTTTTTCATCTAATCTAGCATTTTCAGAGTTTTCACGATTTGTTGTTGTTAGAATCATGTCAAATGTTTTTCTATATTTCTCATCGTTTCGTTGCTTACCCTCTTTGCCATATCATAATTTGAAAACTTGCGCGTGAGAGATACTGCTCTTTACGAGTTTGGTCAAGTAGCAAAATTTTAGTCCTTTATACAATTATATATGGAAATATTTTATGGATGCACCGGAAAACCTATACCAGGGCTCTGAATATTATCTTATTCATTTCTTTAGTAATGTTTGTAGTAATTTTTTAAATTTACTTTGTAAAAACATAAATCTTAGCCCTTATCGTCCTGTTACTGTTAGACCATACCAGCATCTACTTGCTCGTTTTTCTATCATTGTTCAATTCGCTATACGTTGATTAACCAAAGCATATTTAAGGCGATTCTTGTAATTGCCCAAGATGCTTAACTCGAAGGCCTACAGCCTCTATTGTGAGTTTAACTGTTTCCTTTTCGTTTGCAA